GTTTCACACCATTTTTTCCTTTAGTAGGATTGCTTTCTTACTTCTTTTCACTCTATACTGCCCATCATTCCCATCTCATCCCCTTCCTTCTTTCTCTTTTGCTTTTCACTGTATTTTCTCCTTTTCTCAGAGGAAGGAAACTTTCCTTCCTCCCTCTTTAAATTGTTTTGAACTTTTGTCTTAATTCTATTTCCATTTTCCTGCTCAGTTCTGTGATTCCCTTTTCTTTCCTTATCATCTTCATTTTTATTCTTCATTTGCATCCTCCTCCATTCCTATTCCTCCCTTTGAAGAGTAATAACCTCCTGTCTAAGCCAACTGTAAAACAAAGGCAGAAACGCTGTTCAACCAATGCATGTGAATGATGAGAAAACCATATTTTCCCCTCCCTCATTTTGCTGCAGAAACTGCTGTGATCAAAAAGGTCAGGAGAGAGTAACCAAACCCTTTGAACATGAGACAGTGTGTCATGTGTTCTGAAGTATCCCACATCCACAGAATACATCAGAAAGTATTTTAGGATGTTTATCCATATCTGTATTGCAGAAAACATTGAAATCAAATAAATGAAAACCTGCTTTTGCTGCCTTTTTTTTCCCAGGTGGTGATGCTGGGGATGGAGGGGGTGAAGTAACGGCAAGAATGGCTTCTGCTTCTTCTTCTTCTTCTTCTTCTTTTTCTACTTGCTTTTGAATTTCCTTTTTTTCTTCTACCTTGTTTGCAAAGTATTCACTGAGGGAAGAGGCATAAAAGTTACTGGCTTAAGATATTGTTATACATGTGACAAGTAGACACACACAATACAAGCTAAAGAACATGCTAGGAGGTGGATTAAGTGCCTCTATTTGAGCTTCTGCCATTGGTTCACGACATGAAGCTGAAGAAGTCAATATATTTATTATATCATTATTTTTTGGTAGTCGTCTGCAGCATTGGTTAAACAAAAAGAACTACAAGCAAGTATCACAAACCTTAACACATGCTTTTCAAATCACACTGGGTTGAAAGTCAGCTCTGAGCAGACAAACTCAGCATGAAAGATGTATTTGCTTTGCAGGGGTAGGAACAGATCCTGGCATAAGTTCATGGCATACAACAGCCTGGCCGAGATTGCCAATCCAAGAGGTCAGTTGTACACTGGTTATCCAAGTGGCTGCAAACTAAGAGGTGGCTGAATTTCACTTACATGCGCGAGCTGGAAACTTTATCCATGGGTCACAGACAGTCAATTCAGGCAAACTGAGTATGTAAGATATGTAAAGTAGTGTTAACAATGCATTAAAATCTTAATTACACTCACTTTCCAACTGAGTCCTCATTTCCTTTATCAAGGTTTTCCCAAAGCCACTCCATGTGGAGTCAATTAGGTCTGTTCAATACAGTCTGTGTTCAGAGTGGCAGCCCAACCTCTACCCTTTCAGCAAAGTGTTTCCCTCAGGGATGCAGCTGAAAGGAACATTTCCAGCTCCAGAAGAGGACGTGAGGCCATATTACTGCTTCCAGGGTGAAGAAAGCCATACTGTTGCCAGGTGGCTTCTTCTAAGTGTACTTGAAAAATACATTCAGAGACATCTGTGATACTTTTACCTTATATTTTTTTTCTTATAAAAGCCAGACATATTTCTTTGAATTGATAAATATGGCCGTTGTTTTTTTACTTTGGGATGCTCCCAATAAGAAATATTTGTATGAAAAAATAAACATGGATGTTTACTAAAGAGTCTATATTTTCAAACAAACTAATTACCCTGAGTAAGAAGCCTTCTGGAGTAGCTTGCTCAGACAGAAGGCTCCACCAGGACCTGAAAGCTATACACATGTACAAGTTTTTGTGGATTAGCTCAATGCAGCAGACTCACACCCAGGCCATTTGCACCAATCACCTTCTGCAGTGCCATAAACAGAAGTGCAGTTGCAGTTTGAAAAAACCTCCCTCCTAAGTTAAACTGGCACTGAACGAATTTCTTACATGTTGCCTTTGACTCACGAATGTGTTCAGGCATTTTTTTCTTAGAAACCCTTATTTTTGTATCCCATGGATGAAACCTTGTAAAAACCAGCATGATTTTCATATCAAAATTATGAAACAAGCAGACAATAAAATAGTGCAATGGATCTGACACATATGTTACCACCTAAAAATATAAAAAATAATAGTAGAAAACACTAAATATTCTAAATGCTTTCCATATTACAAATAATATAAATTACACATATAAATTAGATTATATATATAAAAATTAGATACATAAATAATAATATACAAAAATATAAATTGTATTTTATATAACTTATTTTTATATTTCAATTGCATTAATTTGTGTAATATGCAAGACCTACCCAAGCATCTTATCAACTTGACACTGGTCAGTAGGCTCCAAGTCCCTCAGCATTGTGTTGAGCGACTCATTGACCCATTCCACAGCAGCATTAACAGAGTCATTTCTTTCTTTTTCATCAGCTTCAATTGTTTCAGGTAAAGCATTTTCAGGTATTCGAGAATGGCAAGACATTACAGTGGAACAAATCCTCTGCATAAATAATAATTTAAAAAACTCCAATGTATAAAGGTTTTAAATACTATTTAATTTCTAACTTGGAAATGTCATTTGACAGACTAAGAAGAATATGTCCTTACCAACTTTACAAGTACATATCTCCAAATCTACTGTTTGCTCCACTTACCTTTTTTCATCCTGCACCTTCTTTCTAGACTCTTAAACTTTGGTAATCCCAGACATTATTCAAGTTTTTTGACCTAAGTTATAACTGTGTGGACAAAAACCTTCTGACAGATCTCTTTATATATATATTATGCTATCAGAATAGAATGGAGTTATTTTAAGGACCATAGTCACTAGGACATCTTTTATTGCAGCTGTTTGTAGCCTGTCGTACCATGATTCATTGGCATTCACATTTAATGCTATCCCTCATGGTCAGTTAGTTTTGTCTTACTCAGATAATTTAAGCTCATCTTTCTGTACTGATGAAGAATAAGTTGTATTAAAAGAATTCACTTAAGGAAGACATCATTTACAAATTTCACAGAGTTGCCTGCATTAATATATACACTGTGAATACCTGTGAAGCTACATTTAATTCCAGAAAGAAGGGAACCATAGTTCAACTGAGGGAAAGTAGAAATAATTACTCCAAAAGAGCTAGAGCTGCAAAGACAGTAATTTGAATATTTCAGGTTGGGGGAAAGATGCACCATCAATTTTACATTGCAGGTGCTGGAGGGATATGTTTGACTTAACTATCACCCACATCAACCTATTAGATCGGTGTACAAAAAGTGCCTCACTTATACTGTGCTTTTCACCTGTGCTGTATTTTTCTGAAGGACTGTCACACAAAGAGAAATACAAAGATATGAAAATTAAAGTAAAAGAAAAATGAACTTACAAGGGTAGTATGGGGTGTAAGGAAAAGCCACATGAAGACAGACAAAATCTTAATATACAAATAGGCACTCACATCCCACTCATAAAATATTGTCTAATTCATGGAAAATAAAGTTTTCATAGTTGCTGCCACTGTCTAACCTTTCAGGACACATTTTTTTTCTAAGTTACAATACTCAACTCTTGAGTTGTGGGGATTTATATCTCCTCATAAAGATAGAAAATAAAATGTTCCTTGGAATGTACTTGAGAATAGTACCTCTTTCTGATATTGTCCTATTAAAATAAATAAAACAGGAAGAAACAGCTCATACCTGCTCATAGTTTTTAACTGTACAGTATATTTCCACTTCTAGTGTTGGCTGACCAACTCCATCAAGAACTTTTCTTCCAACTAATTTGCATATTATTGGAGCTTTTGAATATTTAGAAAGGTAGTTAGCCTTAAATGAAAGAGAAAGAACTTCATTGAAAGTTCATAAAACTTCGTCAATTGCCAGGCAAAGATGTTTTTATTCCATGAAATATATTTCAATCAAATCCACCACTGAACAAATCCATTATGGGTCCCTTCCAACCCACCATATTCTATGATTCTATGATTTATATGTTATAGCAAGTTTTGAGCCCTGTGAGGAAGGTGAAAACTGAGACTTCTGGTAGGCAGTTCACTTTCTTCTTGCAACATGGTCTTCAATGGGCCTGATGAACTGTCATAATCCAATATATTTGCGTCTCTGTCCAGAGTTAATACAATGTTGCTCTAGAAAATGGATTAAGTCACTACCTGAGATTTACTATATACTTCCTTACTAGTTTCATGATTTAGTCTGGTATTGGAGAGTCACCAAACCATGACTTACCAAATGGGAAAAAGAGGAAACTCTTATAGCTACACAGAAGAGGAACATGTCAACAACCAGGCAGAGCAACAGAAAGTGTTACCAGTTCTAGTCCCTTCCACTGACGATGGCAAAACACTGGGAGATGGGAAATTGTACAAGATGGAACGAAATTTCAATTCCACCGATACTTTCCCACTAAACAACATACTAGAAATCACTTTTTTTTCAGGAGTTGCTCACTACTGCAGCATTGACAATTCTTGTATTGCCACTGATTGAGGTTTCATTTAGGACTACTG